AGGCTGCTTTCTCTGTTTCCAGATGTTTGGGCTCTTATTTAAGGGGAGCCTCTTTCTCACAACAGAATCGGGCCCAGGGAGGATTGCTCAACCCTTCTCCCAATTGGTTGCCGCACATGGGTTCTCTTTAGATGATGTCACATCCCTGGCACATCAGCAGGCAGAGGAAGGAGGCATCCCCAGGGCAGAGGGAGGATGAGGCCAAAGAGATCCACTTAGGGTTCTGGGAAGGGTTAGAGTTAATTGGGGGAGGGGGCCTGAAAAGTGCACTGCAGCTACATGGAGAGATGATGTGAGCTAGCTCAATCCCCCCCCCCCCACACACACACGTCAGCAACTCCCTCCACCCCTCAGGAGTTTTTCCACTTAGGTGTTGGGAAGCAGAGTCCCACCGGAGGGCCCACCCCCCAGGAGGAAGCGGCTGGCTCTCCCGAGGACGCTTCTGAGGAGATCATGAACCGCCTGGTCAAGTCCGTGACCCAGAGGTCTCCTGCCCGCTCAGGCCCAGCCAAAGAGCGCCGGCGGTCACGTGGGAACCGGAAGTCCTGTGAGTGTTGCCTGCTGCGTCTCTTGGGTGGAGTCCAGATACGGCTTCTGTGCACACACCCCTTGGACGGGGCGATTGATGTGGAGAGGGAGGAGAGGTCTATTCCCCCCCCTCAAAGCAGGCACCGGCTCCACCAGGGCGGCTCTGGTCCTGTTGCCAGAGGGGCCTCTGCGTCTCCCTGACCCCCTCCCCCTCCTGCTCTTTGCTTCCTTGCAGTGAGGCGCACCCTGAAGAGCGGCCTGAGTGAGGAGCTGGTGCAGGCCTTGGGCCTGGCTCAATCGGCCAGCGTGAGCGTGTGAGGAGCCCCCCACGGCTGTGCCCGAACTGGAGAGGCTCCTGCCTTTGGAGCCACCTCCCTTCGCCCAGAGGGGCTGGGGGGGGGGATGTTTCCCACTTGGCCCCTTGTGCCTTGAGGAGCAAGCTTCGCTTGGCCAGCGTGTTGGCCTGTGTGCCTGTGTGGAAGCTCCCGCTCAGGGCTGGGCGCGGAGGTCTCTGTGCCAGAGGGAGGGTGGCTGCTGTCTCCTTCCCTGCCTATGTCTTGCAGTGGGGATGGGCAGGCTTAATGGAGAAGAGGCTGGAGGGAAGAGAACTGGGCACTCCAAAGGAAGGGCTCCCCCTGCCCACCCCCTCTGCTGCCACCACCTCTGCCTCAGGAGGAGCCTCCTTGGCCCTTCCTGGAGTTCAGCTTTAGGAACGAGAAGTAAAAGCCGCTCTTGCGAATCTCGCCAGGCAGCCGTTCTCCTCTTTTCCTCCCCCGTCTGTTACGTCCTCCGTCTTTGTTCATGAAGGGGTTTGAAAACTGAGCTGTGTGGAAACCCTCCCCCCCCCAGAACAGAAAGTGGCTGTTGGCTAGCCCCTCCCACCCACTTTCTTCCCCAACAGCATTCCCCTCCCCCCCATCGGAGCTTTGGGGCCCAGCAGCCCCTGAGGAGACTCCAGAGAAGGAGAGGCAGCAAGAGCTGAAGGGGGCTTTGTCTGCTTCCTGGGGGTCCCTTTCTCAGGCCAGGAGGAGCCAGAACCCTGCTCTGCCACAGGCTTTGCCCTGGCCCAAGTCTCCGGAGTCCTTGGCACCCAGGGCCTTTTGGAGAGACAGATGCCTCCTTGGGTGGAAAGAGGAGGAATGGAAAGCAGTCAAAGAAAGTAAACAACTTGCAATAAGATGGGAAAGAATCCCCCTCCCTCCCTCCTCCTCTTGTTCTTGGTCAGCCACCTGGGCTGGCTGCCTTTTGTTCTTTAAAGTCCCCATGTTCTGTTTCTGAAACCCCTCAATGAAATGCCTCTTTCTGCTGACCTCTTCTCCCTCCCCATGTCAGTTTTGCACCTGGATTCTCCCGTGGCTCTCTCTGGGTGACCGAGGCGCTCCTCTTGGGCTGGGGGCTTCCTTCATATTGGGTCTGCCTTCATCTTGCCTGCAGTCTAGTCTCCTCTGTTATTGTGTGCCTGCATGCCCTCAGGCACATACACGCTTTTAAGGACTCGCTCCAACCCTATTCAACCCCATCCTTTGTTTCCAAGAGAAGACATTTCAGGATAAATTAATTATTTCTTAACTCCCACCTCCCTGTAGTATAATAAAGTGAGCAGAAGGACAAAAGGGTACAGAGTCATTTTTGCACCTTTTGGCCAGGGTCCCTCCGGCTGCTCACCATCTTCACCAACATCTCGGGTCTCCACTCCTCCATCCGTCTTCCTGTCTTCATTAAACATCCTTCAGGGATCTACACATTCATCTTGCTTTTCACCGTTTGTGTAGAAATTGTTCATTCCTTTCTGTCCATTAAATAAAGCTACCTTGGTTGTTAACCATTAGTTTTTAAATGCATATTCCTTGCTGCACCATGTAATTTGTCTGATATCATTTTGATTGTCAGTTGACAACAGAGTTTGTCTGTATGTGAATGTACACACACACCTATGTCCCCAGTGCAACACTCTTGAAACGCCTCAGATATTTCTGACACAGCTGACTTTTAAATGCAAGAAACAACCAAAAGTCCCCATGCATCAGCAGTCATTGGATTCATATCCATGTTTTACTTACAGCACGTACCACTATTGCTACATTCAGCAACCGGCCTTCAAATCTTTTCCTGAGAAAGAATCCATAATTCATCTTCCTTATATGAGATGGGAAGAGTTGAAGCAACTGATGCAACATAGTATTAGGGTCAGAAAATCCCAGGATTTGAGGCACCAGAGTTTCTGCAGCTTTTCTCTACAGCTTCAGCATTACAGGGATGGCTGGTCCCACCTTTTTTTTTGGGGGGGGGGCTTGTGTGGGTCTAGAGGTGATCTGTTAATGAGTAACTTTGTAGCCCTGTTGGCTTCAGGACTGGCCAAGCCTTCCCTAGCCAGTTCTTCATGCTCCCCCTGCAGAGTCTTTGCTTTCCTTCCCCACTGTTGCTTTGGTCTCCCCCAGGTCCTTTCATGCATGGAGCTCTCCGTGTCTCCCACAAGCCTTCAGTTCCCACTGTTTCTCCCCGAGGGGGGAGGGGGGGGCTGGCTTGGCTTGACAGGGCCGGAGGACCAAGACTCCTGGGCCATGTGCCAGGGAAACTAAACCATCAGAAAAGAAAAACGCAGGTAAATGGGAAGTGAACTTCATCCGTCACGGAGTTGTAAAAGTCTGTTGACCCTACCTTGCTTGGCTTAGTTGCTGTCTGCATGCATGGCTGACCTCACAAGGACATAAAGTCCGGGAGCAAAAGGAGGGAAGCAGGGTGCAACCACAGTGCCAGACCTCCCCCCCACCTCCCACCCTGGCTCAGCAAGGCTTCCTCTCGGTTGCCCAAAGCTTCCCTCCCCCTTTGGCTGAAGCCTCTTCCTGACTCGGCTGTAAAGGGAACCTGGCTGCTTCCCTTCCTTGGCCTGGCAGCCCCCGACAGCCTCTCAGCCCTTTGTGGGATTGAGGGGCCCCCTTCCGGATGGGAAGCCACCTGCAAGAAGGCCTCTCTTTATTCCTTCAGTCCCTCCTTACCCAACCAATGGTGGAGGGGAGGGCCGATGGTAGCAGCAGAAGGAGCTCCCCCCCCCATTTTGGAATGGATGCAGCTTCTACTGAACTAGAAAGTGGAAAATGGGGTGAATAGTCCTTAGAAGTTATTTCTGCTGCCTGCCGACAGTTCGATCCTGACCAGCACAAGGTTGACTCAGCCTTCCAGCCTTTCGAGGTCGGTAAAAGGAGGATCCAGATTGTTGGGGGCCAGGGGCTGGCTCTCAGAGAGCGCGGGAAGGCATGGGGAAGTGGTATAGAAGCCTAAAGGCTCCTGCTATTGCCTGGCCGACACCCTCTCCCCCTCTGAGGTTTCCAAAGGTCCCTGCCCTGTGACAAGGCCTCCTACAGGGCATCAGCTTTTCTTTGCGCATTGCCCACATTGCCAAACCGGCATGCTATGGATGGCTGCTGCAGCTTTGCCTGGTGACAAGGAGGCTGAGGAGTCCTGGAAAGCTCCTGAGGCTGAGGCGCATGGGGGGGGACGGACGAAGGGAGAGACTCATGTCCAGCAGGCCTGCTTGTTCTCCAGTTACACGAATTTGGATTGAAATGCAGTAATTGGGGGGGGGGAGTCTAAAGTGAAAGTACAGGTTGTTTAAGTGTTGTATGTGCTGCATCTGAGGACATGGAAGACTCTGACCTTGAAAGAGGAATGGCATGAACTGCCATTTTCCCTTAAGCGTTTTACTGAGGCTAACTGGTTTTGAGTCGTTCTCTTCCTCCACCCCACCCCACCCACGTGTTTTGTCAACAGCTTCTTAAGGGAGCACGGTGCCCGGCTGGAACACGGCAGCCACCTGGAACAGAAGGGCACCTGAAGGTGACCAGCCTGGCTGATGTCCCAGGAGTTCCTCACAGCCCTTGAGGCCTTGGATGTGACAGCTTTGTTGGTGCATGAGAGGCACTCAGCTTAAGTGGGCAAGGGAGTCAAGTTCTGCCAACATAGATGCTGCTCAGGTGCTGCTGGACTAAAGGTTCCCTCATTGGCCCCAGATGGTTTTCTGAACCAGATGTGTATGCCAACCCTTAGAATCCCAGAAGAGTCTCTAGGGCCGTGAAATTATCTCCTCCACATGACCCCCTTCTAACGAGGAGCTACCAAGGCTCTGCTTGACCTTATCTCAGGAGGAAGAGTCCACCATCGTTTTGCCACTGTTGGCTGTTTCCGTCACATTCAGTCCAAATTTGCCTTTCTGTGGTTTAAAGCTGTTACTGTGTTGGGCCCTCTGCAACAATGAACTTCCGTGTGATCCAGAATCAAAATGCTAAAGCTGAAAGGAGATCTTAAAGGCAACTCAGGTCAACCCTCTGTCCTGTGTAGCTTCTTCAGCAGATGGCCGCCATCTCCTGAGGCAGGTGGTTCTATTGCTGAATAGACGGGATTGTTAGGGAAACTTCCTGGTGTCCAACAGGAACAAATCCCTTGTCATCTGGGGCTACCCTTCCTTGCCCCGATTGTTGAACCAACTTTAAACATTCCTTCCCTATCTTCTGACAGCCCTTCAGACACACAGAAAGTTACATTTCCCCACCATCATCTAAACAATAGCTAAGCATATGCAACATCTCCAACTGTTCTTCCTTTCCTCTAGGCCCCTGGTCAATTTGGTTGCTCTCCTCTGGACAAACCCCATTTTGCCAATTGTCCTCCTTGAAATGTGGTGCCCAGAATTGAATGCAATATTTTATGTGTGGTCTTGCCAATGCATAATGGAGATGAATGATCACACTGGAACTGCACAGGAACTCAAACTGAGAGGACTTGGACTTCATTCAACAGCAAAGCCATTAATGTACACTTGGTGGTTGGTACAGGGGTTCAACCAGCCCTGTGTTTATCTAATGGTACAGAGTCCAGCGCATGTTCTGGTCTGGGATCTCAGGGGAGGCTCTATTAAATGGTGAAGTCAAAGTACTTTATGTCCAAGGCATTTCTGTGGTCAACCAAACTTGTCTCTATATCAAGAAAATAGATCAGGTTGATTTGACATGACCCACTCTTGATAATTCCCTGCTGGGCCCTGTCAAGGTCCACAACCAACTACTTAATCATCTTTCTCATAACTTTGCCTGGCATTTATGTCGGCCTGTGAATGCTCACACCATCCCTGCAGCACTGTGAGTGGTAGTGGTGTTCCGTGTTGTGGCCTGGGGTTACTGCTGCTATGCACTCTGCTTTGGCTTTGGGGTCCAATTCAAGGCTCAAAGCACTACATGGCTAGGGAGCAGGTAATTTGGGGGACCCTCTTTTCCCAATCAGACCTACCTGAGCCACCAGAGAGGAGAGGCAGGGAATGCTGTGGCTTTCCTCTCCTAAGGACATCCAAAGAGGGACCAAGAAGAAGAGACTTCTCTGTGGTGGCCCCCTCCCTCTGCAACATCATCCCCATGGAGATAGATTGACTGACACTTGGTCTCTCTTTTGCAAGACCCCAAAGATCTGGTTCTGCCAACAGGCCTGGGGACTCCAGAACGAGTGATTTGCTTGATTGTTGTCACCAGAGGGATGTTTTTTGCAATGGGATTTTATTCTTTATCCCAGAGTCACTGAGAGTGGGTTGGGCAGCTATATCAATTTTCTTGAATAAATAAATATCTGAGGGGCCATCTCTTTCCTTCGGTTTCTGCCCACCTGCATGTCATGTTGTGGGACCTCGGAAGCAGCCGTCTCTACTACAACCCTTGGGGATTTTTTTCAGATATCTGAAGTCTGGTTTCCTCCCCACCCCCACCCCGGCTCTTGATGGGCTTCTGGTTGACCTTGCTGGGGCCTTTCCTGGAGATAGGCAGCATTATGGCTTTTCTCCACTCCAGGGCACAAGCGGGCACCCTCATCTGGGCACACCTGCAGCCTCCTCTTCGTGAGACTGTGGCCACCCTTTTCTCCAGGGTGAAGTGTTCCCTTCATTACTTTAGCAATGACTTTAGGCTAAGGACTGAACTGGTGATACCTCCTCACTAGCTTTCTCCAACCTGATTTGCAATTTGTGATAAGTTGCTGTGAGGGCCAACAAAATGTCCTCTTAATTCTCACTCATCCTGCTAGCTAATCAGCAAATTATGAGGAACTTTTGTCAAATGCTTTGCAAAATCAGGAGATCTTATGACTGCAGCTTCTCCACAATCCATCTAGGAAGTAATCCAGTCAAACAATGAACCTGGCAAGACTTGTTCTTGACAAACCCAGGCTGGCTTCTTGTGCTCACAGGCTGATCTTTGACAATCTGCTCTAGACTCTTCTTAGGTTGCTTGATGGAGCTCAGCTTAGCATCCTCCTTTCCCCACTTTTCAAATCTTCAGACACAAAATCTCTGCTTCAGTCAACTGCCGCTTCTCCCATTTTTCAATGAAATGCTTTGACCAGGACTGTCAACTTCTTTTTTCTTCTCCGTTTGCATATGATTTTGCCCTGGAGATTTGAGCACGTTCATAGGAAAGAGCCGTTCCCTGCCTATCTTTCTCTCATACATGCTTCAGCCCTGTCCCCTAGAGATTCTTCATGACACTTTCTCCCTTGGGTTGAAGACTGAACCCCAGTTGGGACAGGAGGAGGAGATGTTGTTGTTGCCAGGAGAAACCCAACCCACATCTAAAGGTTTTCCAGGAGCCTGCAAATGTTATGCTGAAGCCCTTTTCCTGGTTGTTTCAAAATTAGGCATCATGCCATAAAACTGGAGCACCCACCCCCCAAAACAGGAGGGGCTAAGTCAGTTTGAGGGAATCAGCTAGGCAAACTCCTGGAGCAAATGGTTAAGCATTCAGTTTGCAAGCCGTTATAAAAGAATGAACCAAGGATCCAGCAGGGTTT